GTCAGATGCAGAGCAGTGCAAAGCAATCTCCACTCTACCTAATGAACACTGACCTGTGTACTGTAGATCATCTACTGTTATCCTAGCTAGCACTGCTTTCTTTCTTGAAGCTGAGCAAACAGAGGCTCCATGAGATTAACTTGCCCACCGTGACAACACTGGGTATCACCAAGTCTATTTCTAGAACATTCTTCTGTTCCCACTGCCTAGTACAGCTACTCGACGACATTTGTACCTCCAGCTAAAGGACTATCAGGATCAAGCCTGGAATTTCAGGTTTCCAGGGAGGGATCCGAATGCTGCTCACTGCCCTTTCCAAAGTTAAGAGTGGGTGCTAAGGGACCCAGTGAGATGAGACTGGAGGGTGTATAAAGTCAAGCGAGCTTCAGCAAAGTGTGTTGCTTTGTGGAATTGCAACTTTAGCATGAGCCATCAAACCGCATGGGTATAGCCTGTGGTTTGTGGGAAAAAGGTTTTGAAGAACTACACTGTTTGGAAAGATTAAGCCTCTAAGAGCCAAGAAACTAAAGAGCTAGCAGAAGAAGGAATGGATGTAGGGTTTCTGGAGCCACCAAGGAGTTCATTCATGGATAAGCCAGGAAAGATTCAGAGAAAGTGAGGAAGCTGGGACAGAAGGTGTGGATGTACTTAGGCAGATGGAAAAGAGACAGCCAGAGCTGGGTACAACCTAGAATGAAAAATTTCACTGCTTGGGGTTCAGCTGGAAAATCATAACCGCAGGCACTTATAAAGCATTTGCTCTGTGCCAGGTGTTGTTCTAAGTATTAATTCATTGAGAGAGAACATTTCAGATTTAGAATTCAGGGGAAGGCCGGATGAGAAAGTGAAGACTCAGAACTTGGGATCATGGCTGATGGGATGAGTGACAAAGTCCCAGGGGCAGGCATGTAGAGATGGCTGCAACATGGCGCCCTGTGAGGGGCCTGCGCTTTGAGGCTGGTAAGACCCAGTCCCAGTTGCTCAGTGGCTCACTACTTGGGGCCACAGTTGGAGCTTTCACATCACAGAAAGCAGCAAATGCCACAGATCAGGGCTCCTTCCCATCTCAAGAGCCATTGCCAGCCCATATACTTGGAATCATGATATGCGTGCGTGGGTCTGCAAAACTTAGCTAACAAACCCATTCCACAGGCTTTACTTGAGTGCCTGTGATGTTTAAGCTGCTGACTCTGAAGCATTGTGTAGGGTGCTGAGGATAAGGAGCTGCACACGCCAGATCCTGCCCTTATGGAGTTCACAGTCTAGGGAGAACGGAAACAAGGTTAACCCAAATGTTAACCCAATTCATTCACCTGTAAGCAACGACACAAAGGGCAAATAAAGGATAGGGAAGCCATCTCATCTCCACCACCTGTCCTGCAGCTGAATTCTCAGCATTTTGAATGGAGCAGCAAAGCACTACTGTCCTCACTGTTTTTTCACCCTCCAGCCCTGCATTTCCTTATCAGTCTTAGGTCACCTCCCCAGGGCCTGGAGTGGTTTTCTGCAGCAGAGGCCAGTGCCTTAGCAGAGCAGGCTCACAAAGCCACCATCCCCCGCCCCCCCCTCTTACTCGCACCTGGCTAGCCCAGCTCCTGCCACTCTTTGGCTCCCCAGGACATCACAGTTGCCATGGGAACCCACTCACTTCAAAGGGGAACGAAGGAGACTGCAGGGGAGGAGGGAGAGTGAAAGCAAGATTAACCTCACCCGCTTGGCCCTGTCTGCTTTGCTGGCAGCCTAATCCCCAGGTCTCAGACTGTACCTAGGACCTGCCGCTCAGTCCACCAGCTTAGGCAGGGCTTGCTTGTGGTCCAAATCAAACTGAAACTTCCTCAGGGTTGAGGTAGGGGCTGGGGAGGGATAGGACTGGGCTGGGTCCAAACCTACAGCCCTCATTCTACAGGCCTCTCCTCTGACCCCCCTCTCAGTGTTGCTCCCGGGCCACAAACACAATTACCCAGGATGTGCATCCAATCACGGGATCTGTGCGGATTAGACTGCAATCATTAATCTGAGTGGGAGCTCCTCGTTGCCTTGCTGATTAGCCCAGATGATGCCCTGGTATGATCCAATTAAAGACACACTCCCCCCTCCCCCAGACACACACTCACGCAATACACACGGTTTCCACATCACAAGGGGACCAATACATTTCATTAACACATCCTCTTACACAAGTGCGACCTCCTCCCTCCACACCACACCCTCCCTGCCCCGTACTAGCAAACTGCCTCCTCTTTGACACACTACCCCTGTGCTGCCCAGTGTGGGTTTAGACAGGGAGGGCCTCCACCACCTTGCTTCCTCTGCGGCTCTGGGAGGGAGCCATGCAGGAAGGCTCCCAAAAGTCAGTGCTAGGGCGCTCTTCTGAATGAAGGGGTCTTGTTACACTTATTGACGTGAAATGCTGGCTCCCTGATGTACTTTGGAGCAGCAAGGCTGCCCCCAGGCAGGCAAATCTAATTAAAATTACCCGTCCCTGCAGGGAAAGTAAGCTCCTGCCCAGGTCATCCTGGCATTGGCTGCAGCCAGAGAAGCCAGTATTAATGGGAGAGGTGTGGCTATGGGAGATAACCCCGCACCCTGGGGTGAGGGGCACATGTTTGCCTGGGCCTTCCTCTTCAAGGCCACCTGGATACTACAGACATGCTTTGCCTGCTCACCAAGGGCTGTGGGAGAAGCGCAGCTTGAGAGGGAAGATGGGCAGCAAGGATGCTTTGGCTGAAGGAAGATCCCAGCTGTACTTTAGGGGACAGTGCCCATCAGGTGGTGACCTGCCAGCCCTGTTGCTTGGCCTGGCTGCAGTATGAACCTGGGATTTGGGGAAAGAACTTAGGAGTCCACAGAGCCCATTAGCAGGAACAAGGAAACCCTGGTGCTCAGTGCCAGATGCAATATCAGGTGACATAGGCCATCTCAAAAATCTTAAACAATCAGGAAACTGAAGCTCAGCCTTGGTTTCTAGGAACTCATTGTTACGTCACTCATCTGGGGTTTTTCTTAGATCATTACATATGCCGGCTTAGAGGTTCTACCCCGAAGTGTCTGAGAAGGTACATAGGACCAGTCTGCATTGTGCACGTGAGTCCCGTGGAGTCTCATGGATGTGCAGAGCACAAGGACTTAGGTCTAAGCAGGCTCTGAGCTTCTGTGCTTCTAATCAGCTCCCAGGTAATTTCGTGCTATAAGTCCACAGGTCACACCATGAGTAGTCAAGATCCACACAGAGTACTACTACACAGAGTACTACCTGATATCCTCCCAAGATATCAGGCTGCTGGGTAGCTTTCAGAGGCCGTGTTACTCCTCTCTCTTTTCAAATGGGTTCCCCACAAATGTGCACAACCACCACACAAGGCCAAGTTATCTTGCTTGAATCTGTAAGCTGCAGTGGCAGAGCCACTGGCCATTCCTGGAATACACCAGAGTCTTACTAGTGTGGCCTCCCACAAGACCCAACTCAACACTGCCTCCTTTGGGGAACATTTGTGGTGCTCAGACCAGACAGCAGTGTTTTTTTATTTGCTTATTTGTGGGTCCCTGATGAGACCAATGCACTAGTTTTGTTATTTCACCCTTATTTCCCCCCCTGAGGTCAGGCACAGTGCCTGCACATGTTAACAGGAAGGATTCAGTAGAAGAGTATGGAGGAAAGAGGGGACCAGATTCCATAGGCCTTTGGGGCCTAAGGCAGAGCTCTCTACCCACATGCAGCTGGACCTGGCTCATTCATTGTGCAGGGCAGGGCCCAGGCACCATGTTTTATCCTTCTGCACCTGAGGAGGCCTCTGTGCCAAGTTTCATGGGTCAAGGCTCACTGCTCCGGATTCCTGACTGTTGACATTAGAGGCATTCAATTCTGAATAAATAAAAAGTAAATAAAAATAATATCAGTGAGAACTGCATGAATTACCACCATTATCATAAAGGCACCGTCATGGCAGTTGTGGAGGGTTGGCAAAGAAGAGATCAATCTTCCTGTTCATCTCTCGTGGTGGATCATTCCACACATTCCTGGCATTAGCACCTGCTGTAATACAGCCTAGCCAGCACTTGCACTTGCTCATGCATATGAACAGATGAGTTCACACAAGCAGATGTGAGCAAGGAGCCAACCTCAATCCTGAGTGCAGACTCGGGCATCTTTCTTAGTGGTGTGGACTCCTCATGGATCATCGATGACTATAATTCCTGCCAAAGTTTGTTTTAGACATGCTCTCAGATCTTCCCTGTCAGCCAGATACACAAGAACCAGAGTTCATTGACATAACCAGGCATTTCCTGACCTCATCCCCACCATCTGCAAGACTCAAGACCTCACCCTGGGTGCTTAAGGCAGAAGCAAAACAAGATCAAACAAGCTGCCTGTTCTCAGCAAACTGTGCCTTGAGAGTGCACCAAACCCTACAGTTTCACAGATAGCATCAGTATTAAGACAGTTAAAAGACCAGCCCCCCCCCCAGAAGATTAACCCAGAAGGCTTAAAAAAAGTTTGCATGTTCTGTCCTATAGTTTGACCTACTCACTTATCATCTCTGAATGCTGACTCTGTATGTTCCTTAGTTCTGGAGCCCAGGAACTAAGAATTATATATCTTAACGGGACTTCCTGTGATTGTCATGCATACTGAAGTGTGTGTTTTCAAGGCAGGGATGGTACCATTGGATGTCCAGTGTCCCGGTGGGCTTGTTATAGGAAAGGCAACAAGAAGTGACAGGGCAAGGAGAGAGTCCAAGGCAGCAGTTTGTTGGTTGAGCTGAGGGTGTCTGATTTTTATTACAACTCACCTCCCTAGGCCATCATATCTCTTACTAGACGTTTCCAGAAAGCTTAAGTCAATCCATTGTGGCTAGCTGAGGGATTCTGGATACTAACTTGATTGAGAAAAGGAGGTTATGAAGAGCAGTTATTGGATAGGGTCCAGCCTGGATTCTCATCTCCAGCAGCTGGGCCTGAGGCTAGCTGGTGGCTCTGAGCAGGGCTAGGGCGTCTCCTACCTGTACACAGCTCGCTTGTCAGCCTCCAGCTGGGCCTGGGGGTCAATGGGGGCACTGGGCACAGGTGTGCTGGCAGCAGCTGAGGGTGCGGAGATGTGGACAGCCTGGGCCTTGGAGGGTGGCTGGGCAGTTGCCGTCATCTGCGGAGAGAAGAAAGGGGAAGTGCTGGGTTAGCACAGCCAGAAGCTGGTTCCCAAGCTGGATTGCGCTGTCTCCCTTGCCTTTGGTATGGTCGTGGAAGAGAATATGGGCAAGAGAATGGAGAGTGCTTAGTGCTTATGTGTATGTATTCTACAAGTGAGAGAGCACTCTACGAAACAATTTGGGGTCATCCGAAACCAGGTGATGCCCAGTACACCTTGAAAGGGGTAATTCTTCATATGCATATGCTGACCTTTGGCCAGAAGTGGAAACAATCAAATAAAGAAACTTTTTTGCTTTTTTAAAGATTTATTTTATTTTTATTGGAAAGTCAGATATACAGAGAAGAGGAGAGACAGAGAGGAAGATTCTCCGTCTGCTGGTTCACTCCCCAAACTGCTGCACCAGTTAGAGCTGAGCTGATGTGAAGCCAGGAGCCTTTTTGGGTCTCCCACGTGGGTACAGGGTCCCAAGGCTTTGGGCCATCCTTGACTGCTTTCCCAGGCCACAAGCAGGGAGCTGGATGGGAAGTTGGGCTGCCGGGATTAGAACCGGCGCCCACATATGAGATTCCGGAGTGTGCAAGGCAAGAATTTTAGCCACTGGGCTACTGCGTCGGACCTAAGAAAACCTTTAAACCGTGCTTATGGATCCTTGGGACAACCTGAATTCGATGACTTTGGAGGGCAGATGAGAAGCAACCGAGTCTGTTCTCATTTGGAAACAGGTTTGTTTATTCGCTGTAACGCTTCAAATGGTTCTCATCGACCAAGTGTTTTTCCAAATTTGGTTTAGCTGGACCCTTGAAGATAAGGAGAGTTTCATGGACAACAGAAGATTTTTGCTCTTGGTCATAACAAATAAATGCTTAGGGCAGAGGCTTTTGTACTAGGTTCTATGATTTTGAAGGTGCCCCAAGGCCTCCAATTTTGTGCCAACCGGAACATATCCATTGGCCTTCCTAAGATTTTGTTTGAAGAAATGGCTCAATAGCTTTACATGTTTGAAAACCATCATTACAGAGTTTAACATTTTTACCTATATTCTCCAAATACATCCCTGAAAGCGTGAATGGTGGCAGGCCTCAAGGGATCTCCTACCTCATTCTGTACGCAATACCAGATAGCTCTTTGCACACTGTGCTGAAGAGCTGCATATAACTGTCTGCCTCCAGGGCCCAGTGCAGTAGCCTAGTAGCTAAAGTCCTTGCCTTGGATGCGCCATATGGGCACCAGTTCTAATCCTGGCAGCCCTGCTTCCCATCTAGCTCTCTGCTTGTGGCCTGGGAAAGCAGTCAAGGATGACCAAAGGCCTTGGGACCTTGCACCCACACAGGAGACTTGGGAGAAACTCCTGGCTTCTGGCTTTGGATCCACTCAGCTCTGGCCATTGCAGCTACTTGAGGGAGTGAATCATTGAATGGAAGGTCTTCCTCTCTGTCTCTCCTCCTATCTGAATATCTGGCTTTCCAATAAAAAGGAAGTCTTTTAAAAAAATAACTGTCGGCCTCCTTCTCTAAGCCTTGCCAGTACCCAGACGACACATACAATTAGCAAACATGTTTGATGCTTCATGAAAATATTTGTTGAGAAAACGAATGAGTGAATAAATGAATGAATATTCCTTGGAAGAATCAGTTGTCTGACAGCTGGGAGATTTCCCCCATGCGTGAAACTTTCTGCACATCTGTGAAGACAAGCACAGGGCTGCTGTTGACAGGCCCTCCAGCACCTGCAAGCACTCTTCACGGAGATGTGACCTGCGGTGCCACCTCTGTAGACAGAACATAGCTCCTCTCGCTTTATGTGCGTAGTCCTCACCACGTATCATGTGAGGATATGGAATACAGAATACAGAAATATATTTTAGTGCAAAAAAGATGAAACACATGCACAGTTTTTCCAATAGGAAAGTGAGTATTATAATACTTTCTGAAGACCCCTCATATGCATACATTTCAAAAATTTAATTCTGTCTTTGCATGAACTTTTGGAAGTACTCCCTGTATCACTATTGGCTTATTTATTTTCTCTCCATTTGTGACTAAAACTTAAGCTTGGGGTTATATTCCTAATACAATCTGTTGCTAGCAGGTGTTCAAGATACACATGTTGAATCAGTGAATTAATGAACAATGGACTGAGACTATAAACAATGATGAAAGAAGCATATTGCATTTTACTGTCTCATTTTTGTCACTGTTGGCTGATCCGAGGGACATACTCAAACTGAGGGTGTAAGAAACGGCACATAACTTCACGGTGCCTGCAAGCCAGCAGACAGTTGCTGAAATAGTAAAGTCTGCCTCTGATTAGCCTTGACCTTGGGCAAATCCTTAACTTTCCTAAATTCCTGACCTCTCATCAGTAGTAAACCGATGACCTTTTAGGATCTGTGAGTATTAAAGAGGTTCTATAAGAAAGAAAAGAGAAGCAATCGTTTCCTTTTTCAAAATGGAGAAAGAAAACAGTAAATGCTTTCCATCTGGGCCAGACTCATCCCCTCACTCATTCACTAATGCAAACGGTCATTGCTTCAGATACCTGTGAGTTCCTACCAGGTACCAGGCACTCCACTAGGCTCAGGGCACAAAGATGAGTGCCTGCTCTCACGGAACTCGGGTTCAGGAGGATGTGAGATAAGTGACCCAGGCAAGGTCATGGCACTTGTGGAAACACAGGGTGATGAGACCCACTGGACAACTGTGGGGATGACAACTAAAGGGGAGCTGTTGGTGTTGGGAAGCTTCCAAGTAAACACTACATACCTTCTTAGTCATCTTCTTTAGCATTTTTATCAGTGATTCAGGGAAGGTCTAAAGAAATTCTTAGCACATTAATGGATGACATGAAATTCAAATCCAAAAAAGCTTTGCAGATTTTGATAACAGACTGGACCTAAGTATGATTAATTTTCAACTGATAAGTTAAAATTCAACAATTCCAACTGTTTGGCCAAAGAAAATCACTAATATTACTATGGAACAAAGCGGAACATGATTTAGTTGCTATGTATTAGTTGACATTGGCTCAGTAGATCCAAAGTGGAATGAGTTTGTCAATAAAGAGAAATCAACAAATATTGCTGGAGAATGCATTAGCAGAATCACAGTTTGTGGAGTGAAGAAGCATTTAGCCCTGCCACACTCTGATTAAACAAGAACAGGAAAATACGTTGAAAGGAGAGTTGAACAGGATGTTGAAGGGGTCAGGCCCTACACCCTAAGAAGATCTGAAGGGACCTGCAACGCATAATCAGGAGTTGGGTAGCAGGGGAGATGGGGAGACATAAGAGCTCTCTTTGAATATCTGAAGGAAGATGTGAGTTGATGTCCGCTCTGCTGTGTATGCCCCAAACTACTAGACCATAGCCATACATTAAATTTGCAACAAGAAGACAATCGAAGCAATCTTCTCAAGCTGGGGATCTTTAAGGCTGCAATAGGCTGCCTCTGCAGGGTGATGCTACTGCAGAGACTGACTGACCTGCTGGGCCAGGGGTTGGGTTATGGGACATCTGATGTTCCCTCCAATACTGACAGGCTCCGACACCATCAGGTTCCTTCCTAATCACCCCACAGTTCAGATGAAAGACGGATAAGATGGAAAAGTGCCTTGTAAACTCTGAAGTGCCCCAAGAAGGGAGGGGTGGCTACTGTTATTAAATCCAACAATTCCAGAATGTACTTCAGGCATAATGCAAGGCCCAGCTGTATCTGCCCAGCTCATCTGAGGGTGAAATGTAGGGTGGGCTGGTATGCTCTGTGCATTTCCTCGTGTCCTTGAAGGACTCCACTCGGGGCTTTTGAGGGTGAGCCTTGCCTTTCGCCTCCCCCGTCCCAGGCAGAACTCTAGGGAGAGGTGCGGGCAGGCCCTGCAGGGTTAGAGAGGAAAGCACAAGGATGTAAATCAAAAGTGGCCACTTGCCAGCATCCCCAGAGGCCCCAGCTAGAGGCTGTTGCTGGGAGGAGGACAGGATGAAGAGAGCAGAGCTGGTCTGAGCAGGACCATGCCTCAAATTTATGTGGCTCATGGGGGCCAGCTCAGCAAACTCTGCTTTTCTTCCAGGCGTGGAGGATGAGTGTTTATCTCCAGGTGGACTTCTTGTTCCAGCCAGAAATCTGTTTCCTAAAGAGCTGGAGCTTAAAGGGAGAGATGACCTGCAGCTGTGCGCAGGGGTAAGGGCCAGGACCTGGGGTCACTGGAGGTAAAAGCCTTGGGAAGAGTACTGAGCAGCACAGCCTAATGAGCAGGGGCAGAGGGAGAGACTGGGTGCACAGGGCAGGTGTGGCTATTCCAGGGCAGACACAGGCTGCCTCATCCTGGCCTGTGAGAACCAGTTGTTCAATCTTCAGGAGCTCCGCATGTTGGCTGACATCCCAGCCGCAGCTTAAAACTGGCCAAGATTCCCACTTACACCACGGAATTGGCAAATGTTGCAAACCACGGCCTGTCCCAGTCCCCCCACTCCCCACCCCAGAGAGCCAGTTGCTGAATATTTACTGGCCCATCACCAACTGCAGGAGTTCTACCCAGAGAACTTTCTTCCATTCCCTTCCATCCAGCATGGGGAAACAATTTGGCCTTCCAGTTTGCTGAGCCACTGGGAGCACTCTGGGCTGCCCTCAGCAGTCCCCTGTGCAGACCTCAGAGAGCTCCGTGGAGCCGCCTGGGCAGCTTGCCGGGCCAGGGTGGATTTCCACATCAGTGGAGACATATAGGTCTCTCCATATAGGCCTACCAGGGGAAGGCTGAAGCACAGACAAGGACAAGTGGAGTCCAGCAATGTCCACAGTGTGTGGGGCATCGCAAAGGCCTATTCTTGTGGTCTCACCATCACTCTACCTTTCAAATAAATAGGGAAAATAAATGTTTTTGTTTTTGAAAAAGAACTTCCCTCTTCCTGCTTCTGGGGGTAACTGGGACGTAAGAGGCGAGATTTGGAGGACTGAGAGATCAGCCAAGCATGAAATGAAGAGACTCTGCCGAAGTGATTTCAT